TCTCCAGCTTCATTGCTGCGACTGTTCTGCACCGCGTGCTTCCAAACAATTGTTCAGCAAGCTAGGTAGTCTGCTCTCAAGCTTCTTGTAAAATTCCAGAAAATTTAACACTTGGCTTTTGTAAGCTGCCATGAATTATGTCTAGCACATCACCAGTTGGAGCATATTAATAATATATTGGTGTATGGCTCACATGATTTGCACATACAGCCTAGATTGTTAGTAATATAGACCATGTGATTTATAAGTGCTGTGCAGGAATATCAATGAAGGCAGATTTTTATTGATTTATTTATAATATTATTACTTAATTCTCCATCATTTTATTGTTTTTAATAATACAATCCCTAGAGCACAGAAACAATTAATAACATATAGCAATATTAAAATATTATATTTAAGAAATATTACGTAATTTACAAAACAGTGATAGAAAACAGCCAACTTATTCAATCTCTTTTAAATGTAAATGTGAAATTATAATTCCAATTATAACTTCATTTTCAATATTTTTATTGTTCATATCTCGAAAACTCAAGGCAGATCATCACAATACAAAGTACTTCAATCTTTATTATGGCTCTAAAATTTTGCAGTTTCCTCCATCTCTATAACTTCAGCAAAGTTTGGCCACTTCCAAGGTGGTCCTCTCATGTCTTCTATATTTCCCCACATGGGAATTTATGTCAATGTATTGTGCAATGATTAACTCTGCCCCCTTCAGTTTATAGGAAAATTGTCCCTGATTTGAGAACTACTTTGTATTTTCAGAACCAACTCTTGAGTCTTAGAAATCTTCATTCTGGAATTATTTTTTTCCTATGTTGCATTAGCAGATATCTCCTACATCATAATCTGTTGGTTTTATGGCATAATTTGAATGGTTGTTATGTATTCTGTCTTTCACACATGTCCATATATTCTTATGTAATACAAGGTGTGTGTGTTTGTGTTCATGTATACCCATGCAGACACGTGTATCTGTGCCTACACATGCCCTTGCTTCTCAATCCATGGAACAGAAACATTGTCTTTAAACCTAAATTAAGAAACAAACAGATTACTGACTCCTATTACACTTGTGATCACTCTGGAAGCATCTAATTTGCAACTATGAGAATCAGAATATTGATAACTACACTATGGGATTGCTCCAAGTTGTGTTTTTCTTATGTTTAATCTGTCTTTTTCTGAGACGTCTTTATTAGAATTTGAACTTAAAATTAAGTCCTACTGCTAACTAATTCTCCATGGAATACAAAAATTTATAGTTTTATTAAAATACTATATAAAAATTGAGAGGGTTTTGCCTATTTCGTATATCCGTATAACATCTGTTTATTATATTTTAGGAAGGAGAGTGATATGATGAAACAGATTGCAAACCTGCCAGCAATAAGAATTAATAGTTGTGTAGTACTTGTCCATATGTACTGTTAACATAGTTAATTTTGTAACCAAGATACAGAAATGAGCATCTGCTTCACTATTACATAGCAATAATCAGTTATAGTCCTTCAGGGGAAAATGTTATCTATGTGTACATAAGTATTTGCTGCTATAGAAACTGGAGATTGAAAAATATTTTGAAAAAGTATAGACAACTGCATATTAAAGCATACTAATAGGCAAATCATATTGAATCAGAAAATTAGCATTAGGTATTGTCTATGCCAGTTTGTCATGTTTTGATTTTGTCCATCTGGGCATGCCGGTTTTACTACAGGTTCGCAACCCATGTGCTTCGCATGTGCATGCGCTGTTCAATGTAAATGGTTCTGTCCGTATACGTAGAACAATTTACAGTGAACTGTGCACATGCAGTCACTGAAATCCAAAATGGCAGAGGCCCAGTGGCAGCGAGCGAACCAGTTCAGGAGCGTGGCAGGCCTCGGTTGCTGCTGGTCCTGCGACCCAGGCCTGACTTCCACTACCGGTTCAGCCGAACCGGCAGCAACCCACCTCTGCATCTGGGTAGTGTCTGACAGCCCTTTCTCTATGTTGTAGATGTCTGGTGTTACAAAAGAAACTTGATGGATTATGTTGGACTTTGGGGAAAGAATCTCATTCAATTTGCATGCCAGAATTCATGCTTTGGATATAAAACAACCTAGATTTAAAGGATCAAGTAGCAACTAATAGAAAAGCCTTGAACCTGGAAATTGGTTATTAGTCAGAGTAAATGATACAGGTCTACTCTGAGCTATAGTAGTTTCCTGCATACCTCATTGTTAGTGTTAGAAAAATGTGTAACTGTTTCAGCAGTCACTGAACTCATTTATTACATTTAAAATGTTATTATCAAAATCTCCCTATTATTGACTTTAAAAGTGCAGGATAATACAGTACATGCACATATATAAACAAGCAAGAATGGACGAGTTAGCATGTCATGAGTAATTATTGCTTTGAACAAGTAGTTCAAGAGGAGTTGAGTTGGAAAGACTATCATATTCTTCCTGCTACCAATTTTCATAAAACCCCATGCTCCAAAGAGCAAAGAGAGGAACCACAGTAAATAATGGTTGTGAATGACTAAATTTTGCAAAATGGGGTGTGTGTGTGTCCATTGGTACTTGGATCACAATGTTACGTTACCTTCCTGCAGATTTTGGCAGTCCTCTGCAGATATTGCTGCATGCCTGGCTATCCTGATATCATCTCCTTGAAAAACTGTAGAGTAAAGTATCATGATCAGAATGTCATTCTAGTGTTCACATCTTCTGGTTGTTTCTTTCTATAGAGTCCTTAGAATTGAGCCTCTGCTATTCCATGACTGTCTGCCTGCACCTAGGGATGGACCCACTGTTTTTTCCAATCCCTACCAATAAGTAAACAATGCTTTCTGAGTCCATCAAGTCTAGCCTTATTATTTTTGCTTAAAAACTCTTTTTATTATTGTTAAATGACCTGTGAAGTGTTTACCATTGATTCTCCTAAAGTGAAGCATTTTATTTCCTATTGCATTCCAAAGAAGGCAAGTTACAGGCGTTTTTAAAACTTCTACTGAAAAGTAATAGGGCTTCACAATACTTAACCTAAGGTGGATTCTGCCCACTACAAATAATTTATTCATTAATATACAAAGATTATTCTGTCCTTTCTCAGGTTTATCTATCAGAAGCGTGTGTTGGAAAGCAGATCGGCTTCTAGCAGGAACACAGGACAGTGAAATATTTGAAATTATTGTGAGAGAAAGAGACAAGCCAATGCTTATAATGCAAGGTCACTGTGAAGGCGAGCTCTGGGCTCTGGCAGTCCACCCCAAAAAGCCATTAGTTGTTACTGGCAGTGATGATCGATCTGTGCGGTAAGGCAACAGCATGTATCCCTAATGTTTCACCACAGTTCTGTTGGGAAATCCTCATGGCTTTGAAGATTACGATGCTGGTGATCAATTAACGGGAAGAAGGCAAATTAAGCAATATTCAGCTAGATGTTTTATTTATTTTTTAAGTTATATATTATTTATTCCAGCATTGATATTCTAGTTTATTAGCCAAAGAATAGATAATTAAAGTGCAAGTATTTTTAATAAATGTGTTAGTTAAAAGTAGTGTTAAAATATATGAAAGCTGTGAAAATGATTTTATCTCTCTCCCCAAAACTACCTCACACAATTGCTGTTGTGAGGAAAATTGGAGGTAGCATTCTATATGTTGCCTTGAGATCCTGAACAAAGATGGGATATAAATCAACAAATAAATACAAATACAGTAATTATGTGATTAATATTAACATGATTAATAGTTAAGATACCTGTATAATTTAGTGCCATTTTCAAATCTGATAAACATTCCCTATACCTCTTCATTCCATTTATAAATAAAAAATAATGAATATAATCACATTGTGATGAAATGATTTCTCATTTCGTTCTCATGTTGAACTGCAAACTACCCAATCCCTTTTTATTTTAATCTGTTCTGTGAACCAGATAAACAGAAAATAGAATGGGAGAGATGCACATAAAGTTTGGAGTAATGTCTCTCTGGCCAAAAAAACAATACATGAATGCCACATTGTAGTGATTAACAGACTTCTTTCATTTTTCCTTTCTTTTGAAGCTTATGGAGTCTTGCTGATCACGCTTTGATTGCCCGATGCAATATGGAAGAAGCTGTGCGGAGTGTATCTTTCAGCCCTGATGGATCTCAGCTGGCTCTGGGAATGAAAGATGGCTCTTTTATTGTTCTGAGAGTGAGGTAGGCTTGTTTCCTGCCTTTAAAAAAATAATTCAGAACAAATCTGAAGTGTATTAATGCAATTTTTGATAATTGTTTTATATATTGTTGGCCTGAATGAGACACAATAGGCTGGTACAACATATTTTGAAAGCTTGAGGATAAGTTTTCTGAAAAAANCAACAAACCCATCAGTACTAGTATGTTATATTCTCATGTTCTGCTGCTTTTGAAAAATATATAAAGGCTGTCTTTTCTATAAGTTGTTGTTCAGATGTTCAAATGGCTGTCTTGCCTTAATTTGCTCTGAACCTGGTACCAATAAAGCCACTTCTTTTGATTCTGATAACTGAGTCCCTTAATTTCCTGCAACAGTTATGGCACCCCAGATGGGACTTGGAGCGATATTTCGCTGAGGACAGCAGGGATCGACTGGTGCCCAATCGGGGCTGTCTTGCCCAACCTTCAGGCGTCATGAAGAGTTTCTCTGGGAGGAGGCAGACGACCCCCTTGGGTACTCAGTGGACAAATCGACCAATCCAAGAACTCAAAAGGAATCAAAATAAGTCACTGAACAACACTGGCTGAAAAGAAGGCAAGTATTGTGGTATTGTGGGAATTGTAGCCCCACTCATTTGAGAGTGGAAGAGGGGGCCTGATCACCCACCTGGGTCCAGGATTGATGCATCCTAACGTGACCCAAGAGTTGTGTAGGTGCTTAAACCATTGCAGTTCCTGTTTGTGACCATTGGAACCTCCGGCACTGCAGGTCAGTGGCATTGTCTTAGATTAGAACATGGGTGGTGGAGGAAGCATTCCTCAGATGCCTCTTCAATGCATGTTGAGAAATTTTAAGAAAGGATTTAGTAAAGATTACGGAGACCTGAAGGCCAATCCAGGAGACTTAAAGAAATTCTGTGAAAATGGTGGCCCAAGAGGTTTGAGTCCTCTATACCTGGCAGGAGTTTGAAGTGCAGCGATTATGGGCAGAAAATAATCCTCCAGGACATGCAGGTCACCATACACCATTAGTCATTCAAGTAAAGCCTCTGGCAGTGCCTATTCATTTCCATCAGAGAAGTGATCCACACCCCATTGCACAAGCAATTCAAGACCATATTACCAAATACTTAAGAGCAGGTAATAAAAAGGTAAAGCCTGCCTGAATGGGAAATCCAAGCTAGAAACCTGGTCGAATGCAAACAATGTGTGAAAAAATGTCTCTATACATCTTGATCTTTAAAAATATGCCAGTGTTTGCTGGGAGATCCAAAGTAGCTGAGATCCACCTGGAATGCTATGGGCACCTCTACTCACCCCCCAGAGCCATAGTGAATACTATCGTAGAGGAACTAGAGGGAGAAGCAAGGGAATGGCTAGCAGCCCTCCACAAGAGGAGAGCCCCCCAACTGCAAGGCGTAGATAACTTCCTATGACAGCTAGAGGCCAGATTTGAGGAGGTGGAGGAGGACCTGCATGAGGAAGATTAGCTCAGCAACCTAAAGCAGAGGGGCCACACCATCAAAGAGCACATCCGCGAATTCAGGAGAGTCATTGGAAGGCTACCCCCTTTATCAGAGCATCTGTTAGTGTGTTTTTTCAGAATGAGTCTGGACCAGCAGATTGCCCAAGTAACTGCCTACCGTGACATCCCAAACCGACTCTCTGAGTGGTTCCGAGTAGCAATAAAAGTCGACACTGGATTGCGTGCTAATGACATGAGAAAGCCACCGAACACGAAAGAGAGAGGTCAACTCGACCTGAAAACACCCGGCCGACAGGGACCCACAACAACACAGCAGGCCCTGAAACCAGCCCCCCCCCTTGAAGTCCACTGAAATGCTTAAGATGCAGGGGGGTGGGCCACATGGCATCTGCATGCACGACTCCAACCCCGATGCCAAGGCCAGAGCTGCTACCCAGGGCACAACTGGAATGGGGCCTCAAATGGGCCATCCATGGGAAGAAGGCGGGGCTTAGCAGTGAGAAGACAGACTTTCAGGCTACTCCTGAAACTCCTCTATTCCGAAGCATTTGGACGGTCCCTTTTTGGACCCAAGCTATCCCGGAGAGACAGTGAAAGGTAGGAGGAGATCCAGTGGTCCCAGAGACGTTCACAAAGTCTCTGGGGACCTGGAAAATAACCTCCTTT